TTTTTGGGAGTGTGCCGGCTGCCATGCTCCCTTCCCTAAAATTTTGGAGATATGGATCCGCAAAAATTTTGGAAGTCCCAAAAATTTTCGAATTGACGCCGTGCACCTTCTTCTGACAAGAAATTCTTGCTACCCTCTCCTCGAACGGAAATTCTGGGACCGCCACTTGTATTTTATAGTACGAAGGGAATTCTTCAATCCCTTCTCCTAAAAAAAAAGTAATATTGCTAACAAATCTAATTCTGTAAAATGGGGCCGTGCTTTAGCAGCGCGTCTAGCGTGCAGGTACATTCATCACTTTTATAAGTAGAGATTGAAGATGGACTAAATGATTGAGAAAAAAGACTTGAAAATAACCAAAAACTTTCGGTTTCCCACTTTGCATAAAAGGCAAGGTATCTCTTTACTAGAACAGAGCGCTAAAACACATCCATCGGTCTCAATAATAAGTGGCAGGAGCAGTAAGGGAGGTATTATAATCAAACACAAAATTCGAAAACGAAGAAAAACAATAGAATTTTAATGTAAAATTTTTGTTTTTGTTTTTTTTCATTTTAAGAGCAACTTCGGTGGTACTTGGATGATGGACCGCGCAGAAGCATGAACGCTGAAGACCCACACAAAATCTAAATGTGCATATGTATCCTAATATTCTGCGCAGTATCGCCGCTATTGTATAATAGCGCTGACTGCTTATCTTCTCCGTATTTTGTAACTGCAAACTGGCAAGCCATCTTGCGTTGTCTTATACGTTTGTTGAGAAACGGGAAATATTGGTCAATTTTTCAATTATTTCTCTGTTGAGATCGAATAGCAGTTGCTAATTTGGTAGGTGTATACATCAGTAGCAGACCGTTTACGGGAGAGGGGCGGGGAGGGGGGTAGGGGTGGGGGGGGGGGGAGGGAGCCTCTCCTCCCGTCGAGAATTGGTCGTGAATTTTTTGAAAGTTACTTACATGGGTCATAAAAGTGCAAGTGACTTCTTTATACTTGTAGATAGGTGAAATGATTTTTGAAATCTTTTTAAGAATGCACCTTTTAAAAACAATTCCCCCCCCCCCTCAAAAAAAGTCCTGGAACCGCGTACTACTGAACAAAATGGTACTAGTGATCAAAATTATGTTTAAGTTGAAATTTGAAAGCTTGAAAACATGCTATCAAACTGTCGGTTATCACTATGCAAGTATGTATGTAGGTGAGACACAAAATTTCTTTCTAATAACAACATTTGAATTATTTTGGCTCTGTTGCTAGTTTCTGATAACCAGTAATTACCAGTTCGGAAATTGTGAAAAGCATTGAAGCACCAAACATAATATTGAGGACCGAAAGTTTTGTCGAACCGTTGTCAAAAAATTGCAGTTTCTTCCCACCATAGTAATTTGCATGGCACTAAAAAAACTAAGGTAATAAATTAGGTAAACTAAGGTAAAAAAGTTACTAAGGTAAACTAAGGTACTTAGGTAAACTTAGGTGATAAAACTATTACAGTCAGCACCGCGGAAGTCACTATGACGTCAGGACCTCAAACTTGGGTAATAAAACCATTGAGATCATTAGCGCGAAAGTCGCTGTGACGTCAGGACCTCAAACTTGGGTAATAAAACCATTGAGATCATTAGCGCGAAAGTCGCTGTGACGTCAGGACCTCAAACTTGGGTAATAAAACCATTGAGATCATTAGCGCGAAAGTCGCTGTGACGTCAGGACCTCAAACTTGGGTAATAAAACCATTGAGATCATTAGCGCGAAAGTCGCTGTGACGTCAGGACCTCAAACTTGGGTAATAAAACCATTGAGATCATTAGCGCGAAAGTCGCTGTGACGTCAGGACCTCAAACTTGGGTAATAAAACCATTGAGATCATTAGCGCGAAAGTCGCTGTGACGTCAGGACCTCAAACTTGGGTAATAAAACCATTGAGATCATTAGCGCGAAAGTCGCTGTGACGTCAGGACCTCAAACTTGGGTAATAAAACCATTGAGATCATTAGCGCGAAAGTCGCTGTGACGTCAGGACCTCAAACTTGGGTAATAAAACCATTGAGATCATTAGCGCGAAAGTCGCTGTGACGTCAGGACCTCAAACTTGGGTAATAAAACCATTGAGATCATTAGCGCGAAAGTCGCTGTGACGTCAGGACCTCAAACTTGGGTAATAAAACCATTGAGATCATTAGCGCGAAAGTCGCTGTGACGTCAGGACCTCAAACTTGGGTAATAAAACCATTGAGATCATTAGCGCGAAAGTCGCTGTGACGTCAGGACCTCAAACTTGGGTAATAAAACCATTGAGATCATTAGCGCGAAAGTCGCTGTGACGTCAGGACCTCAAACTTGGGTAATAAAACCATTGAGATCATTAGCGCGAAAGTCGCTGTGACGTCAGGACCTCGAACTTGGGTAATAAAACCATTGAGATCGTTAATGCGAAAGTCACTGTAACGTCAAACCACAGTCTTAACTTGATGACGGTCCATTGAGAGATGTTGGAGGTAAGTCTCAAGAGTCGGTGTGTTTTATAACGTTCTTCTCCACCAGTATAATGAAACTGCTTCGCCATTTTTCTGTACGGCGGCTGGTTTCATGGCCTGCTACAGGACAGAGCATGTATAGATTTATAGTGACTAAGGCTATGCGCCGATTTTGTTGATTAGCGACACTTGGCGTATCCCGCTACGCTACTGATGTAAGCGGCGCACATGGAGGCTCCGACATCCACCTTACATTTTTTGATATTTGGGCGCAAGGGGGGAACCTTTTGATAAGCACAAGCACATAGAAATTTCACAGCTTCATTATTGATTATAGCATAACTGTACTTTTATATTGCGGTCCACGTTAGAGCCAGTTCTCAAAGGACTTTTCGAAGAAGACACACCGTATAACTTATCGATGCTGGTCGAAACTCTGTTCACTTCCTCTCCTACGTCAGATTCTATAGACTACTCTTCTGGTATGGATACGAGCCCTATTGTCGCCTCCATTTTATATCTATGATGTTATGAGAAACTATAATATTTTCGGTCGGATTCTGGCGCTGTTCTTAGCTACCCTCTGTTTCAGTGGAAGCGGCGGATGGAGGATGGAGCTTCGATCGCTAATTAAGTCTGAAAATAATTAGAGCGCACGCAGCGAAAGAGATCGAGCACACGGCTTCATCCACCACCCGACACTCCTAATGATACAGACACAACGCGACTATTACGATTGCTTATTATCCTTCCTCTGGCTATTGATCTTGCTAATCATATCATCAAGTCTCCCTGCAACCAAAACGACGCGCTGTATGCTCTCTGCTTGTGGCACACTGACTCCACCGTATCTTTTATATCTGGACCAACACCTGCAGGCGACTAATAATACTGAAGTTCCTCCTGGACATTTTATGATAGAATGTGTCAAGATAGAGATATCCCGACAAATTTTTACTTCAATTAAGAAGAGCTGGCGAAAGTCTATTTGGTGACGGTTGAATGTACTTTGTGACTAATTCCCCATGCCGCTAGGGTCCCACATGCAGGAGGGCCCGCTGAAGCTGTCCATCTCCAGCATAAATCTGGGGCTACCCTATTTTATTGAAATGTTCCCTTGCTGGACTTCCCCTGTGGAAGTCGGGGGGTTCAGTCTATGAAGCAGGTTTTAAGCAGGCTTCTTTATGCCACGCGTAGCCGTCCAGCGTAACGTATTGGCCTGTAAGAATCCGCGCAGGGAGGAGGATGTTTGGGACCGCCGTAGATGAGGAGTGAGCAACAGAATCTTCTAGGGAAGCTATAAGAGACCGGGTTTGGATAAAATAGCAGTCACATATACGCTAGCCCTTTCTTGGTTCAGTCTCTTCTTCCCACTTTACTTGACACTCCGGTGGCAGATTGCTCTTTCCTTTTGCCTTTCCCCATTTTCTGTTTCTGAGGATTGGCCTCTGCCTAACCTTCATTCTTTGCCTTTCCCTATGATTGTGCGTTAATGCTATGTTTCGATTAAGTACTTTTTTCTGATTAGATGGTAAAGATTATAGGGAGTGATGCATAGACAAAATTGATGTGAGATTATCATCAAGATCAGCTTCACTAAGAAAATCAAACTTTTGGATAAGTTAAGGCTCGTACATCATAAGTACAAGAATAAAGAGACCCTTTCGCTCTTCGGAACGCTTTGAGCTTTACAGTAGCTACACAGTGTTCGTCTATTCTTGTTCACGTGATTCACGACAGGCTAAAAAAATGGAAATATTTTTCGGAGCAACCTAATAATATGTATGAAAATTATGCAACACTTGGTGCGCCAAAAAAGCCCCTTCCTCATTATTTGTGAACCATCGACCTCTTCTCGCGCTCTCTATCAGTCTTTTTTTTTCTGTACAATTTACTCGATTTAATTAAGGCATATTCGTCTCAGAATCTTCCTACTCGATTCGTTGTTGAGTTAAATACTAAGCACATTTTTCAAGCTGTTTGCAACAAATCTCACCGAGAAACACAGGATCATATGATGATAACTGTACGCGTTTTTTGAAGTATTTGCCTATTCTCTTCCAAAACTTTTCCCATATTCTGGTAGTGGACAGAATATTTCTATTAAAAAAGAAATGTTCAACTGTAAACCTAATACTATCCAACTGGATTGTTCCTATAATGAGAGACCTCACTGCTTTTACTTTGTTGGGTTTTTTGCTTGTAACTGAATGAGTCTTGAGTTTGCGAGCGCAGTGAGATACCAGCTTACGTCATGCTTTGATTTTCGATAAAGATAAATGTAATTATAACAGTATTAGCTCCGTTGAAAAAGTAATTTGAAAGAAAAAGTGAAATTTTCTAAGCATCGTTACGTCGCACCTGAGAAGATCAATCAAGCTTGTTTTGTGTTGCGCTATCTTGCCCCCTCCCCACGCTTCGCTCTACATTGAGCATTGTACTTGTATATTATTTCAGTATCACTGACACCCTTTCTAGATATATACAGATACTTTATAGCAAAAGAAAAACAACGAACATTTCTCAGTAAACAGATGTACAGCTAAATAACTCTTATCTTATACAAATAGTATGGTCACCACGAGTAGGGCAATGTAACTGACTACGAGTAGCCAGTTGAAGATCTAAAACATATATGACTATGTGGAATGGATAAATGAGACAAGGAAATGAAATGAGTAGAACTTACTGTCACAGCTATAAACCGACTATGTAGATATCCTGCAGATATTCCACAGTACCAAGTTTCTAGTGCGGCTGATATAATATTTAGGACTAGGCAGATGGCATACATAAGAAGCAGCTAAAATATATATAATTGGGATTACTCTTAGATTTTAGTTACAGTTTAGTATATTTTCCGCTTGATATATTGTGCTTGCTGTGCCGAGATTATTGCGCGTGAACAAATAGCTACGCCAGTAATGCCGGTCATTTGCTCGCGCAGAATGCCAACAATACTAACATGGCTTTTTTTTCACGCGCAAATTTGGTCGCCCAACCTTGGCACCGCAAGGGCACTATAATGAGCGGATTGACTAGAGTGCAAAAGATCAAAACTGTAAAAATTCTTACCCTTTTCTTTCCCACTGTGCCGAGCACATCTTTACCGAAAAGGTTAGAAAGAAACACAATAAAGTTAAAAATGAATGTAGTGACTAGAATAAATAATATCAACGTTTGCCATCCGAATCCCTGCAAATAAAAATGATTATGCGGATTTTTGGAGGTGAATGTAGATGATTTGCTTACTTGGTAGATGAACTGAAAGTAGAGGTTGGTACCGCTCCATATAAGTGACGAGGCGAAAATTGCAGCAAATCCAAAGCACTGCCTAATGACAACATTTGGATTATTTTGGCTCTTATGTCAATATTTGCTTACGAGTTACCAGTTCGGAATTTGTGAAAAGCATCAAAAGACCGAACATAATACTGAGTACCGAATGTTTTGTCGTCGTACCGTTGTCAAAAAATCGCAGCTTCTTCCTATCGCAATAATTTTGTATGGCACTACTTTGGTTAGAAAGAGTAATTATTGTAATTTCTAATTCACCTTAGTTTTTCTAATTCACCCTCTACTAAGTTTTGAGCACAGACATAAAAAGGAAGAGAAAATCATTCAAGGTTCGACTTGCAAGCCTGTCAATGATTCAAAACTCTGTCATAGAATTCAAAACAGCAGTGTCATCAGTTTGCTGATGTCCTCTTTGTAAATTATCAAAGCCTATGCTGATCTAGCTCTTTTTTGAAGACTTATAATTGTCGGGAAGATAGCAGATAACGGGAAAATTGATCTTTTAGCCCCAAAAAACCAAGAAAAAACTGAGAGTCCGTTTTAAAAAATCTCTAATTTCTAACTTGCTCAGGCATTGTCATTTTGTATAAAACAATTCTCCATGCAGTTGTTGCATTTTTCTCTCAGTTAAAAATTGAGAAAACGAAGTTTTTCATGTTTTTTTTTCAAAACAATGCTGAGATGTTCTAGCACTGACGGTTGTGGACTGCAGGACCTTAGAGACAAGAGTGTGAATTTTTAGCTTTTTACAGCAGCCGGTTTACGAGAAATATCGAATTTTAAGCAACTAGGCCAGAGAAATTCGAATAAGGAGAGCTAGGTTCGATATTTCTCGTGAACTAGTTCTTCTAGAAGGCTGAAAATTATTGTTAAGCACGTACTATACAACTGCTAGTGCTAGAACATGCACTAATTTGGCAAAAACATGAAAAACTTCGATACAGCAACTGCATGGAGAGCTGTCTTATACGAAATGACAATGCATGAGCAAGTTAGAAATTTTGAAGGATTTTTCTGAACGGACTTCCAATTTTTTTTGGTGTTTTGGGACGTTTGAATCTTTTTTCGTTTTTGGCTTCAATCCTCGCTTGAATCAAAGCTGCTGCAAATCTTTGAGCACTATCTTGTAGAGCTAGGTTTGCTCTATCTAAAAATATATCGAATCCCATATGGGGTATATGATTATTTCGGACTATTGCGGTCTGTACCTATTTTGGTGCAGGAATTATGCATCAACCTAATACTTCTGTGAACACGAAGCGAAAAAATTCTGCAGATGTTCCTCATTTGCAATTTCGATGAACTTGCTTCTAATCACACACATCCAATAGTTCCATCCTGCAACGACGAAACCCGAGAAGTGCTGTGATTTTTTGAATTTTATAAAGAAAAAAAAAACAAGTTAACAATTTTTCAAAAAATCACGCAGTACCTAGTTTGAATTTCGCAGGAAGAGAACTGCGGTTGCGCAATCCTCGTCTGCGTTTTCGAGCTGCATTATACTGCTTCAAGAGCAATCAAAATTCGATTGATGAAATGATTGGAAACACATTCTATACGGCCGAAGACCCCACCTGTTACGCCGTATAATTTACGAGTTTGCTCGGCAAGGTATCTCTAGTATGCTTACAGGTAAAACATGTCAATTTAGTTAGATTGGGGCTAGACAAGGTATCTCCAGATGCTCACAGGTTAAACATGTCAAATTAGGAAGATTGGGCGTCTTGATCAAAGAGAGGTGCACGATGTAAACGCATACTGGTTTCTTTGAGTAGCAAGGAAGGAAGGATGAGGGCCGGTCGTTTTTGGGGGAGAGGGGGGGGGGGAGAAAGAAGGGCGGATATAATTATTTTCAAAAGGGCGTATCCTTACTGCACCCCGAGACAAACTTAGGGTGCTTTAATGGTTTTTTACGCAAGGATCTGATTAGAAAATATTGATGGCAAATTTGTGTGAACATTATAGTTACTTAATAGTAATCTTATCAGTTTTATAACATATATCCCTTTCCAAGGGCAAGGGTTTCGTATGAGCATACCCACTGAAGAGTGGAGCGCAGTTTATAAGGAAGGTCCGCGTTTTACAGCTCGGGAATCTGGATTTTATATCCATCCTCGGGGTCCTGTCCTCCTTAAGTCTTTGGATATCCATTGATGATGGTCTATTCTCAAATAATCAAACAAATTCTTGATGTTTCCATCAAATGCGTAAAAGTGTGGATGACTGTGAATCAGGGCTCAGCACGAGGTGGCTAGATAAAATGGAAAAAAAACGAAGTCCCCCTTGACTTTTGGGAATTTTCACGAAGTCCCCTTTGACCCTCCACCAAATTTCCTGAAAAATTCCCCAAAATCCTCCAAAAAACGAAACGTCGACTAAAAAAAACGTCGCTAAGTCCGCAATTTTGCGTGTCTCTTCGGTCACAAAAACGAAACCCCCTTTGCCTTTCGTTCCAAAAACGATATCCAGCTTGCTTGTAAGCCACCTGTGCCGAGCCCTGCTGTGGATGACTTTAAGATTCAAAGCTTAGCTCGGACTGAGTTTTGATTCTGGTGCAGTAAATAAACTCAACGTTTAAATGCGAACAAAAGCAATAAAAACAGCAAAAACATAAACAATTAATATTGATAAACTCAACCGATCCTTTTACAGCCTTTCGTACCAATAGATATAAACAAGGAACACACTATGTGAGTCATCAACCGATGAATAGATGTACGAGTTTTAATATTGCTAATGAACCACATCCAGGTTCCTTAAGAACCCTCTATCTACGGTAATACACTGAGAAGAAATGTTGCCAAGTTTCTAAAAATGATGTCTGTTTTTCTTCAAAGAGAGATAGAAGTGGAAATCAGACGACAGTTACACATCCAAAAAATTGTTGTTTTGGAGTGTTTAGTTTGACATTCAAGGGTACGAAGTGACCATAGAGCGCACATAGCAACTGTTTAAGCGCAGATGCCTACGACAACGCAAGAAATATCTAGATCAGGGCTCGGCATAGGTAACTTGTTAAGCAAGTTGGATATCGTTTTCAGGGCTCGGCACGAGGTGGCTAGATGAAAATGCAAAAACGAAGTCCCCTTGACTTTTGGGAATTTCTACGTAGTTCCCTTTGACCTTCAACCACATTTCCTCTAAAAACCTAAAAAAATCCCCAAAATCCCCCAAAAAACGAAACGTCGACTAAAAAAAAACGTCGCTAAGTCCCCAATTTTGCGTGTCTCTTCGGTCACAAAAACGAAACCCCCTTTGCCTTTCGTTCCAAAAACGATATCCAGCTTGCTCGTAAGCCACCTCGTGCCGAGCCCTGATCGTTTTTGGGACAAAAAGCAAAAGGTGTTTTGCTTTTGTGGGTCCAAAAGACAAGAATTTAAGACGTTTCAGTCGACGTTTCGTTTCTTGGAGGTTTTTTGGGATTATGGTTTAGGGTCAAAAGGGACTTCGCAGAATTTAAGGAAATTTGAGGGGGACTTCGTTTTTAAGCAAACCAAAAGCCACCTGTGCCGAGCTCCGATCTAGATGTTCTTCTAGGCCGTCTTTAAGGAATCTTGAACCTTCTGCTCATTTGGATATGCAAGATCTTGATCAACATGATAAAAACGGTACTACGATTGAACAAATCTCTTCGCAATCATTCTATATCATCTAGTTAAGCTCGCGCCACATAAGCCTCGTTGTCAGACATCCATATTTATCGTAGTATAGCGGTAGATACAGGGATAGGTGATATAGAATACAGCTCATAATATCCAAAACTGCCATAAACAAATTTGCCGGGTTCTCCCTAAGATCTAATTTGGGACAACTATATTCAAGGCTATCAAACAGATCAGATGTAGATGAATAATGAATATAAATCCAATGTTGAAGACAAGGAAATGTGCTTAGGATAGAAATTTTGCAAAAGACCTACTGTAGCTTACGTTCTGAGAAAGGAATCGATACCACAATAAACAGTCTTATTACTCATTGGTACGAAGCCAAAAATTCTGCACATTTTCTTCAATGCAAATTTCATGTGAAGATCTTACTTCAAATTGTACTCATCCAACATTTTCACTTTGCGGAACCCCGAGGATGTGCCGCGAACCTTGTAAGGTCCGACAAACTGTTTATGTAATTTTTTTCATATAACGGCAAAAAACTCCAATGTTTTCGAAAGATCATGTCCGCAATCCCTGTGTGAACGCAGCAATGTCCTGCTATTGCTGAACACAAGGGTCCAGCAATATCAGGACGCAGAGAGAGGATTGCGATTGTGTAATCCCAGCCTGCGTTTGAGAGAGTATATACTGCTTTAAAAACATTTACAATTCGGTGG